GGGATTATCCCAAGTCCGACAATCATCCAGCTCTGATTTTTGGTTGTTTTTTTGGCCCTATTTGATCATTCCCTTTGTTCTATAATGTGGTAGTGTTGAATATAATCCTGAAAATGCCTTCTGTCTATGTTTTTGAATTAATCTTCATATATTGGATGATTATGCTTGCATTTCTTATCATTTTTCCCTGCTCCCAATTATCGCCACTCCATTCTGTCGCTCTCTTGGATATTTATTCCTATTTGCATTTTTTGTGCTGTCGTGTCCGCTTATGGCCTCAAGCCGGGTAGTCTGACACCGCCGATTTTGTCTGCCCCTGGCGCGTCTTTAACTGGGTCACAAGCACCTCCACTATTCTCTTCAGCGGCTCCGACTAGTACTAGTAACTCTGCTGCCATTGCGATTTCCTGCCAGCCATCTACATTGGTCTTGCATCCTTGCACCAGCGTCACTCTCTCCAGGCCTTCTGGGTCTACTCTTGAAGTAAACCAGTCTACAGAACACGATCCTATACCCCCTGCCGGCAGCAGCCGAGGCAATAGGGCAATTGCATCTGTTGCTCAATCGACAACCTCAGCCACTGGCTCCCACGCAATTATCCTTTCGGCCAATCCCCTTTCCTCTTACACACCTAGGCGTACTCTGGCGCATCCAAACTCCGTCAGCAGTCCCTGTACCCCTACGATCGGGACGGCTACTGTTGTCGCACTCTGGTCCAGGCCTCTCGGCCTTGCTGTAAACTCCAGTCCTGCAGTGGTCGCTCACAAGCACACCTCGCCTTCACAGTCTCTGTCTCCATCACCTCCATCGCTTTTGTCTGCCGCCGACTCGCCTATGTCTGTAATCGCCGGAACCTCAGCCATTGTAACTACTTCTGCCTCAGGGTCAACTTCGACCAGTGGAATCGCTGGCAAGTCAACTTCTGCCACAGCTCCGTGTGAGGGTTTCAATTCTTCTCCAATTGTCCTGACTCCTGTGGCCCCATTTGGAAAGCGCTCTCGGGCGACTTAGTCTATCTTAGCTCTTCATTAACTAGATTTTGTGATCTTGACAGACGGACTAACATGTTCTGTCAAATGTCTGATTTAGCATATTTATCTATCACATGCATTCGCTCACTCGATTTATATAGTCTAATAATGTTTATGACTTTTTTCGTAAACTATTGTCTTTTGTGGGGTCAATCCAGTGCATCAAGTTATCTAGTAGTTTGGAGTTTGATGCCTTTTTCTATCCGTTACTGGTCTTCCGGACATTTCTTGCTTTTCTTTCTATAGCGGAAACACTGGTCTACTAGCTTCAGTATCATTAGGCAATTCAGCTTAAAGGCATATGCTTTCCCTCTCTCAAATTTCTTTTTTGTTATTTATCACAACTCGGAATGGGCTGACGCTATAGTTTTATGTACTTTTTTCTATGAAAACAATCTCCTCTACTTTTACCCTGTTCGTATATGAATTTATCGCCAATTGTAGTTTCTATTGTTCCCAGCATGCTGATCATTTACTTCCACTTTGAGAGCTCTGGGGCTTTCTTGTTTTCCTACACTGAAGTTTACTGCTCTGCATGCGTATTCTGATAGTATCAGATCACACTTTGACTTAGCAACTGTCTCTGCTAAGTGATATATATTTTTTAAAGTCGCGTGAATGCCTGCTATAGGTGTCCTAATCCACGCTCGGGCATATTTGCTAGTTAAATATGCATATTTCTCAATAAGATGGCTTTCCTATCGTTTCTTCGTCGAAAAGTTAGTACTATTTCATTGATTTCTCTTATAGAGATTCTCATCTTTGATTATTTTTATTCAAAAAGCGACCACGAATATTTGATATCATTGCATCCGTCCACGTGGACTCCAATACAATGACCATTATGATTAATTACTTCTGCAATCATTGCTTATGTGCCTCGGAACGTGTTTCCTGTCTAGCTGAAATCCCTATCCGAGTTGCTAATATTTTCATTTGTATTGCTCCTAATTAAAATATTTCCCCTTAGTTTTTCTGTACACCTCCCCTTCTCACGCCCTTATATTCGCACACGAGTATGCATATCTGCATATACACTCATTGATTCATCCGAATTCACACTAATATTTCGTTATTTTGTTTCTATGATTCAGTTAACTAGCTGTATTCTCGATTTATCTACTATCCAATTACCTCTTCCTCCATTCACTAAGAGCAGATTACAACTTGGAGCATTCTCTGCTTCCGTTTCTGTTCTTGTTTGTCCTCTATTCTATACTTATGGGTTAATTTTTGTGCATGTATACACACACTAGCTTGTGTGCATACATAGACACGCATGAAGTTATTATATGTACATAATAAGACATTTTAGCTCATTTAAATAAAGGCAACTCCTTGACAGTCTCAGGGTTTCATTGAATAGTTGAACTGTTCAGGGGTCTCTAGAAGTCTGTTTACGCTGACTTTGACCTCATTTTCTGGTTAATTGTGACATGTACTTCTTAAATTTGGCGATCAGGATATTCGCCTCGTTTGCTTTAGCCTTTAATATTCTAGGGTGTTCCTGTATTACATGATAAAGCTTCGATATGACACCAAAGGTTTCTTCACTTTTATCTTGATACTGGCATTGGTTTATTTTCTATCTTCGTCTTAACTTAAATTTTTCTTGCCACATACATTTTTCGTTTATATGACTGTTTTTCTTCCCATTTATCTTTGTCTTCCACTGCATCTGTCTCTAAAACCACTCTTCGTTTTTAGATCTACTTAGGCTATTTTGGATTTTTAAATAATCTTTTATGATCCTGAATGAATAATCTATTTATCGCATGTACTAGTGCACAAATAACAAATCCACAGGCTTAAGACTTTGGCCTATTTCATGCAAACTATCTAATTTATCCAAAATGCCAGTCTCACAAAGCTCTTGAGTCTCTTACTCATAATATATAAATCTGGCCAGTTACACTTTTTCCTATTTCCTCCATTTTGACATGTACTCATTGTTTTTTTCTGCTCACTACGACGTCAGCATCTAAATTAGACATACTCAGCTTGATTCCCTTCATGTCAGAGTTTTAATAAATTGCTATCACTCGAAATTGCCTTTTTTTATATTCTTCTTAAATGGTGATATGATTGCTTCCTTTGTATGCGCCTCGATGCAGCCTTAATTATTTTCTTATTTTATTACCAATAAATTCCTCTCCTTTCGGAAGTCCATCAGGCCCTTGCTTTTCGCTAACTCGAATGTTAGACTAGTATCGGCTTCGTGACTCAAGAGCCAATATTTTCCATTTGCTTTGCCCTTTATCTTTCTTTATTTTTTAGACTTTAACTGACGACTTTTGGCTTACTTTAATGCTGCTCCCCACCAATATATAACTTATTCCTTGTATCTGCAATTATCTTCGTTTTAGAAATGGGTTGACCTCGTTGTCGCAACGTTTTTTCTGTCCTTTCATAGTCCGCGTTCTGCCATCGGCTTTTCACGGCCCGTATGTTTCTTTGTATTACTTCGCTAGGGTAGCCATTGCCGAG